AAAAAAAGAAAAGAAAAACTGCATAAAGGAAAATTCAATCATAATCTACCATGCATAACTATTATTAAATTTTTGATATATTTCCTATCTGACTTATATTTAGCTATCATATTTTAATATAAAATCTGGACTATACCATGTGTACACTTATAATTTTTTTTTTTTTTTAAGAGACGGAGTCTTGCTCTGTCACCCAGGCTGGAGTGCAGTGCCACAATCCTGGTTCACTGTAACCTCAGCCTTCCAGGCTTAAGTCATCCTCTCCCACCTCAACTACAGGTGTAGGCCACCACACCTGGCTAATCTGTGTGTATTTTTGGTAAACATGGGGCTTCGCCACATTACCCACGCTGGTCTCAAACTCCTGGGCCCAAGCAACCTGCCCTCCTTGGCCTCCCAAAGTGCTGGGATAACAGGTGTGAGTCACCGCAGCCAGTCTCCATGTGTACAGTTATATACACCTTTCTTTCAGCTTAACAGTATAAAATGAACACTGCAAAACTTCATGTTTAAATGACTGCAGAGCATTCCATGGTATTTTCACATTGCAGGGCCATTTAGGCTGCTAAAACTTTTTGGTATTATAAATAAAACTACAACGGTTATATTTTCTTAATTTTTATTAATGGCCATATTCATTTACATCAAATAACAACATGGATTGAAATCTCAACAGGCAGACATGGGAAGGAACTGACTTCCTAGCAGAAGAAAGTTTTAAAGGTCTGTGAATTACTTAATTTGACAAATGAGGGGAGATAACACAAGAAATATACTTAAACACCAATTTATCAAACACCCTAAATGCTAAGATAAGGAAATTTTATCAGCAATATTAGCAGGTAGTAGAAGTACGTTTGTAAGCAGAAAAATAGCATTATTAGAAATATATCTACACAAAGATGAAATCTGGTGAGAGTAGGCACATATTAGAATTTTCACATTGAGAGAGAGGAACCTTGTATTATTTATGATTACAACTTCCCACAACAAAGTTTATAAAGTAGTTTATAATTGGTACACAATAAATATTTCAGATAGGATAATATAAGAAATAATGTGAACCACTCAGAAAAAGTAACACTGACATAGTATAAATGTGTAAGAGAGAAACAGATTTCAGATAAAGATGTCAAGGGAGACCGGTTCAGGTGTTTACGATTCTGGCTGTACTTACTATTAAATTATTCAACAAATATTTATTAAGCATTGCTATAATTGGGATGTTTGCCCCCCCAAAATTTCATCCCAATGTTGTTGGTGGGGCCCAACAAGAGAGGTCTGGGTCATGAGAGCAGATCCCTCATGAATAGATTAATGCTCTCCCTGGAGGGTTGGAAGTGGGTGGGTGAGTGTATTCTCTCTCTTAGTTCCTGAAAGAGCTGGCTGTTAGGAGCCTAGCACCTCCTCTCTCCCCCATCCCACACTCCCACCGCCCCCACTCTCTCAAGTGATCTCTGCACACACCAGCTCCCGCTGTCCTCTATTATGAGTGGAAGCAGCCTAAGGCCCTTACCAGAAGCTGAGCAGATGCCAGCATCATGCTTTTTGTACAACCTACTGAATCATAAGTCAAATAAACCTCTTTTCTTCATAAATTACCCAACCTCAGATATTTCCTTATAACAACACAAAACAGATGAAGATGAACATTTACTATGAGTACAGATGGCACAATTAACAACATGTATGAAAGAATGGGGTATAATTGTCTATAATTGGTAGACAAAGAATGGGAAACCAATTTCTCCATTAAATAATAAGCAGTAATATAACATTAATGTAATAAAAACATCTCACTGGCAGCTAGGTAGGAAACACATTAGACAAGAAGTGAAAAGAGATTCCCTACTTCAAGTGTGGTTCACAGATGAGCACCACCAGCAACAGTAGCATTATCTGGGAATATGTCAGAAATAGAGAAACTCAGGCCCCATCAAAAACCTACTAGAAAAGAATCTGTGTTTTAAGAACCTCAGGTGATATATAAACACATTAAAATGAGAGACCTGGGACTATAAGCCAGACAAGTAGCTGGAAGGGTACTAAAATTCCCCTGGTAAGGCCTGGAACCAGAGGAACTGGAAAGAGAGGACACTTAACTGCTCTTGAAAATGCAAACCAACTTTGAACAATAATTCTCTGCTCATCTCTAAAATTCCAAGTACTCTTTTAAGAACATATCACAAGGCCGGGCGCGGTGGCTCAAGCCTGTAATCCCAGCACTGTGGGAGGCCGAGGCGGGTGGATCACGAGGTCAAGAGATCGAGACCATCCTGGTCAACATGGTGAAACCCCA